GGATGGTCGAAAATAGTGCCACTCCCACTCAAGTCTCGGAGCTTTGTCACGGCTTTCCTTTTGCGCCCCCCCAACACTAAACACACACATCACCGCATTGGACAGTGTTCAAACCGAAACTGCAGAGCAAAAAAAAACAGATCATATTGCTTCTGTTGTTATTGATCGAAGTAAACTTTGGTTTTTGTTTCACGGCAACATGAGGAAACAACAACAACAACAAAAGAAATCCACGAACATGTAATGCGCACATCGCAGCACAAGCACGAGTGTTGTAGCTTCAGAAAGTTTGCAAGATCAATCCAGCAAAGTGTGCGGTCACAGCGCGCAGAGAAAGGCTATCAAATGCGCTCCAGATCAGCACTGAGGCTCTGTTACGCGTGACCTTCCTGAAGGACCATACCTCCATATTTGCGCTTTGCATTCCGCAGGATAGGCTACACACAGAGAGGGAGGGAGGGAGCGAGAAAGGGGGGGAAAAAAAGATGTAGATCGAGTCAAATTGGGGGTTTGATACGAGCTGTGCAGTCGCCTGTCTGCCTTAAGCCCTTTGTTGTGATGTGCCACACCCCCGCTAGACAGACTGCCAGCTGATCTGGCCAGCAACAGACTCAGCTAGCTGAGCCTCGACCGAGGAGCCTCTGCTTTCCTCTGCAGCTCATCTCCCCTCTGCTATGATGCTTTCTGCACACACACAAACACACACACATAACCTGACAGAGCAGAAACAAAACAGACCTTTCTGGATCACAGCAGAAAACGCCTTGTGTGAGTCATTTACTGGAAGTATGTGCAAGAAAACAATTCTAAATATGTGTCATGACATTGAGCCCCATTATTATTATTTTTTTGCATAATTCACCCACCACCTGCCCCAAATATTAAAATAATAAGCCACCCATCCTTACAGGGGTAGATTCTTGTCTCATCTGTCGTATTTGCTCTGACCTCCTCTGTCTGGCTTTGTGTACTTCTCTCACTGCATTTATTATCCTGAAGAAAGGATTGCACAACAATGCAAAGTATGAAACACTGCAAGCCTGTTGTATGATGATTTTTGCTTGTGGCTGGTGGATAATCATGAGGTTTTGTCATCCATATTGCATTTCTGTTGCTTTTTATTCATCAGCTGCAGCATAAAATGAGTGTTTGTCAAGAGTAGGCCAAGAGACAGATTTGACTTGTGTATGTACATAATGTCAGGCTCCATAACACTGCACTATCATCTGTTATATGACTTTCTAAAGGGAATAAAATTCCTGTGTTTTCCGTACAGTGTGTTCTAGTGCAGTTTTATTACGGTCTATCAGCCTCCCTGTCTCCTATCAAGCCTTTTCCTTTCTTTTGGGATACACTCCCCTGTCTGGCTTTCTGATTGGTGTTTGTCCTATAATTTCTCATAATGAGGATGGTTCCTGCTTATATGATTGGATAGTTATGGAACATGAGTCATCTCGGTTCAGCTGTCTTGCCTCAGCCAAACTCGCAGCCGCGCTCCACCACTCAGTGTGCTTCCCTTCAGCCCCTGACCATGTGAGTTTAGTGCAGTTTTATTGCTCTGTATTAGCCCTGCCCTTGTCTCTGTGCTTATTAAGCGCTTCCTTTCGCCTGCTTTTCTGTTTGGATACGCTGCGTCGTCTGGCTTTGCGATTGGTTTCTGTCCCATAAAGTCTGATAATAATGACTCCCTCTGCCTATTTGATTGGATAGGCTCAGAATGTGGGTCATCTGAGTTCAGCCGGTCTGCCTCAGCCAACCTTGCAGTGCTTTCATAGAGCCAGACTCTGGCAGTGTGCTTCCCTTCAGCCCCTACTAGCAGAGTCAAGAGAGAATGGATCCCAGCCCAGTCAGTTCCAGCCAAACACCACTATCTAATTGAGGAGGGAAACACTGCTATAGACACCAAACAAAGAGCCGAGGACAAGATGTCCTCATTTGACTCCTGCGCAGCCCAAAGCCTCAGCAGCCCAGCCTTTGCAGCTCTTGTGTGTCTGATTTGCATTTCTCATGCAGTGACTACAGCACATAATGAATCAATAGTTTTTATTGTAAATCCTAAGAAATTATATTTCATTTTATGTTATGATGTTGTTTGTCGACCACAGATGTTACTCTGTGTTGCTGTTTTTAATTTTGCACTGTATTTTAGTGTCTTTTCAAACAATTAAAGCATTATAAAGGGATAGCTCTCCTAAATAACAAATGGAGACAGTTTTTACCCAAAACTCGTCTTTTTTTTTTATAATTCTTCTCATGAGCTTTTGGCTGTCACTTCAGTAGAACTGAAAATATGTTATTCAGTACACAATGTCCTGAACATCATGTGCATATTTTACAGCAAGGTTTTTATTAACAGTGGCAGAAAAACTGTCCACAGCAAGGCCTGAGGTTTATAAATAAGTAACTGGGGACTCCATGTTTTTACATGTATGACAAAGTTCCTGGTTAAGGGTCTCCTTAGACTCCTGAGGAGAGACTAAGGTGGTTTCATTTTAGGCTTCCCATCTAACTCAGTGTAACAGGAGCACCAAGATGTAGCAGACACAGGACTCCACACTGAATTTAAATCACTCATTATACTGCATTGAGTTTGATAGTGAGGAATCTATAGCGGTTTAGGGGGCTAAGGTTACCAGACTGCTTTTGTCTGATCTTCTGGTGAAGGAGGTGGAGCTTTTCTATGACAATACTCAATCTGCAGTATGAATGCAGTCATGTGACATTTGTGTACAGATAAACTGAGTTATAAATGGAACTTTCCAAAGAAATATCAATCTGTTTTGGACTTTTTAATGCCCCTTTTTTTAAATTTAGTTTTTTCATTCATTCTGTTTTGAAATACTGGAATGAATAAGACCCACTTTCATAAGAGGTGGCTTGTGGTCATGAAGCACATGGTGTTCTCCGTGAGGCCTCATTACTCTGCTGTGCTGGTGTCATGCAGACTGTCATCACCAGAGGAGAGATGGCCCCTGACTCTTCTTCAGAACAAATAGCTCGGACCTTCTGTGCCCCCCGCGGCCAGGTCTCACAAAAGGAGATCTTGTCAGTGTACAATACCTATTTAAAACCTATTGGAATCACAAGGAGGAACAGGGTCAATATTCCTCAAAGACAAAGAGCCTAATAACATATTTTACAGTTGGGTTGATGTTTTGTCTGGACTGCTTTTGTGTTCTGCTGGGGTACCTCTAATGCTGTGGGATGGTTGTAAAGCCCTTTACTGTCTGTCCTAAAAAATAAGTGGCACCACCTGGCAGCACAGTTCTACTGCCATGTAGACCCAGTTATTCATGCATGCTATCTATTTTCGGTCAAATAACTGTGGTTAATGACACTTTTTTTTAAACGTGAAATTATCCCAAATTCCACATGGAAAAAGCAGCAGGAGTCTCTGATTATATATGCTGCATCTCTGCCAGTGGTTTTATATTTGGCTGCACTGCTACACAGAGTGCACAGTGTTCCTGTGTGGCTGGTGGCAGTGATGAGGTAGCAGGGTGGAGATGGGGTTTTCCTGCTCTTGCTCGAGCCTAACCTTGGCGCAACGAACGGGTAAAAACTCCACTGGGCTAGAAGAGGTCACTCTGTCTACCTACCACCGACAGCATTTTCACTATTGCTCCCAGCTGAGCCATATTTCTAATGACATGTAATAAAAAGATGATGCCTCAATCATGGGGAACGTTCTCCACTCAGGTGACGTTACAAGTTATGTGTTTTTCATGCGAGCAGAGGGTTCGTTTCCCACGTTGGTCCACAGGGAAGTTCCTTAACAACCATGAGATGGATTGCCATAGATATCTTTTTATAGAGAGTCATGCTTCCCAGAGGGTGAAGCCCAGAGATTTTGTACATCCCCTGGTGTTACGTGTGGCGGCACCAGCAGGTGGATATTTGGGATTTTAAGTGAAATGTCTTGACTTTACTATTTGCCATAAAAATTTGATTCCAGTTCAGTACATTTGCTCATTTCAGTACATTTTACTGTTTGAGGACTTTGGGGATCCTCTTTACATTTAGCACCATTATCAGGTTACACTTGTTATTTTTTCTGTGCTTGGCATGCTTCACTTCACCTTGCACGCCTGACATCAGTGTGCTAGCTTTGTCATTGTGAGCGTGCCAGTGACATCAATTTCGCTCCAAGTGCCACTGCATGACTGCTGACTTGTTGTGTTGTAAATGTACAGATGTGCACAATGTAGGTCTTTCTTATGCTGTAAGATAAGGTGCCTTCTCAATAGCATCTTTAATGAATAAAATCTGGTTGGCCTGTGAAGGTCACATGTTGCAGCGCAGTATGTGTCCAATGGAAACAAGGTATTAGTAAAATCTACTTGATCCTCGGGATGTAAATAAAGCCAAAGTGGAGCCGCCATCTTGCCCGTTAATCCTCTGGTGCAGTGTTACTGCTCCATAGAAGACGTCTCCAAGGCATGTGCCGGTACACATGCCGTCCATATGTCATCCTTCTCGTGCGCACGTAAAGCTGATAGCAGGATAGTTCCCCACTAATGTTGGGATGTAAACCTGATTTAACTGTGATTAAGCAGCCAAGCATGCAAAGTGGATAGTCATAACACTGAAAGGCCCCT